TGAGATAGAAAAAAAAATTACAAGGTCTTAAAACTTGAAAAGACTTGTACCATTCTCATTCAAAGCTTTAATTGTTAAGCATCTTACACTTAACCGGCCTCCAAAGGTTGATTTTAACCTTGTAGCCAGTAAGAGGGATTTTGATGAATTCTTTTGACAATAAAAAATAGAATTCTCTTACCATAGGCGCAGCTGATGAGCTCGTCACCTACCAATGTCTCCACCCTGGTCGCTTGTCTCATTCCCAAACTACAAATGCGAACAGCTTCACTCACCAACCTAAGCTGTTCATATGTCCCGCTGTGAGCACGTATAGCTTGTGTCGCTCAACTTTGCTCATCTCTACTCCAACATCTCTTGCTAGGGCATATGATTGAGTTTGCACATAAAGAATTGCTCTCTATCTCCTCTCTTCTATTTTATGTCTCTTCTCCCTCTTACTCTTGATTATGATGCTGAACCCGCACAGGCTCTCGTCTTTCTTTGTCCTATAGTTATTGTACTAACTCATTTTGTAATCTTGTTTCCCCTTCGTCATTCTCTCTTATATGAATTCACGAATAGGTAAGTACCGGTTCAATTAAATTGTTGCTAACTATTCAAGGTACTATAAAAAGAATACTGAGCAGGCATTTACAATCTCAACTGTTTTGTCCCCCTAAAAATTTGAAGATTTACTATTTTTATATATAATATTAAATTATCTATATTAAAAATGGTGCTTTTAAATACGTCATTTGGCAATTCAAGTATGTATGCATCAGTGCCAATCTTTAGTAATCTTAATTAGCCCTACATACCCTAGCTTGCAGTTTTCTAAATTTTGTGGAGGGATATCTCTCAAGTTGGGTCCCAATTAACATATGTTCTTCAATATTGTATTATTTGAAACTTTTCTCTCTATTTCTTATTTCAGCATACTTTGTATTAGTCATATTTTCCTTGCATTATTTTGAAGGCTTTGAAAAATCTTGTGTGAAAATGAATGCAGGATTTAAGAATGCATGTGAATGTACGTTAGCAAGATCAATTGATTTCTTTTTGGTGTATCCATATACTATTTCAAATGAGGTTTTACTTGCGGCTCTTGAAATAGTTCTTTTGTATGCATACATTGCTATATGAAAGTGTAGGTTCCGAGTATTTGAACTTTTATCCATCAAACTTTGTAAGAGGTTTTCTATAGCTGTACTTATTATCCCAGTGTACCCATCAAGTGAAGATAAATACAGAAGAGAATTTCAATTATACTCATTAACGTTCATATAAGTTTCTTAAAATATGATACAAATTTAACTTCCCAATCAAAAACTATTATGTATTGAAGCTCTTACAGTCTATCAATTTCCTTAAAAATAATTTGTTTTATGAGATGTATCATTTTATTTTGAGTTCAGTACAAAGTAAAACATCTTGCGAAATTGATCTATAATTATTAATAGGCTGCCATGTCCTCTAGTGGTTCTAAGAAGGTTAAGTACGAAGTTTATAGAATAATACTCTCAAGATTGAAGATTATAAGAAAAATAGCTAAATATGTATGTTAAAATGTGTCGGCATAAATCTTAAATAACCATAGTTGTAACCTCACTAAAAAATATTTTTTTAGTCTTCCTGGTGCTTTTTGTTTGATGTATATCACTGTGTGACTGCTCATTCAGCATTTCTTCTTAAATAACCATAGTTGTAACCTCAAAGGGATGTTTGTATGTTAAATTCAACTGTATTCAAATATATCCTTCCATTGAACTTTTTTCCTATGCATCGAAGACAATCTTGCTATTAATTATTTTTTCTTAAGGTTCCTCAAAAATATGAGAGATTTTATAAAAAGGTTTCAAGTGAATTTTAATTTTTAGATATAGTCCGCAATAAGACTTCTACATCTAGGTAAGAAAATAGAAATGTTCTTGAATGGTTAGTAACAAACTAAATACAGACCAATCTTCACCTTTGATCTTTGATACTTGTTGCATTCTCCCTCTCCAAATTAAGGTATAAGTGATCTAAATGGAAATTCAATTTAACGATTTTCATATATGTTATTGTCGTTGAGTAACACTCTTATAAACAATTTTTGAGAAATCCAAAGTCCTTAGTAGTTTCCTTTGACATCTCTCACACATATTAAGTTATGGAGCACACTGACAAACAACCTTCGTTAGATAAAAAATAAATAGTGAATTTCTCTCAATCTCTCTATACAAAATAATGTCATCTAATAATACTTCGATAAACAACTTTGGATTGGTCAAAGATTTATGGTGGATTTTTCTTAACTTCTTTCACGTGATTAACTTCATATAGTAACACTCATAACAACATATGGCAATAGTAACACAAATAACAACATATGGCAAGTCAAAAGTTCATTACTAAATTTCTCTCGGTTTTTCTTCACACGCCTTAATATTGTCAATTAATACTTTGACAAACAATTTTACAAAAACAACAACAAAGCCTTAACATGAATCCTTTTTCTCCACTGCATCTTATGTAGTGTCATATTTTCATTTAGTTCTAATAAATTAAGATCTTTTTTATACAATAAGCCCAAGTCTTCCTAGGTATACCTCTGCCTTTCTTAACATAAGTCGAATCTAAAAGATCTATTCTCCTAATTGGATCATCAGATGGGCGACGTTTAATGTGACCAAACTATTTAAGATGACTATCTCTAATTTTGTCTGTCGCTAGAGCTACACCAACCCTATCATGTATATCTTCATTCTGCATTTTGTCTCTAAGTGTAAAGCCACTCATCCACCTAATCATTCTCCTAATCATTCATTCTCATCTCGGCAACACTTAACTCAGTATTATGCTTCTCTTTTAAAGGCCAACATTCAACACCATAGAGCATTGCAGATCTCTCCACCATCTTATAAAATTTTCCTTTCAGTATAAGCGGCACTTTGACAAACAATTTTAAATAGGTTAAAAATCTTTGATAAAATTTTTTCGACCTCTAATACATAGGTTGAATTCCTGTGAAATTCCTTTTTTTTTTTTTTTTTTTTTGCCCTTCAATAAGAAAAACTGGATTTTACATGGGAAAATTATTCTTTTTCTCAACTCTACCGGGGGCTTATAGATCCACATGAAAGACTTGGATGAGGGAAAAATATGGAAAAACATTAAGAATCTTTTATAAAATTATCAAATTTTTGAGCCACATGAAAATTTTCTTTTTAAAAATATCAAGGGAAAGACATTATCAGTAGCCTAAGTTGCCCTAGTGACATCATTTTAAGTGGGTCAGGTCTGATGTTTTTTTTTTCCCTCAAAATTTCATCATAGAAAAACATTGGTTTAGCAGCGTTTGTTGGATCTTAATAGGAAGTTAAAACATTTATTTCTCACTCTATCTCCATGAATTTTTTTTCATGCAAAACAGACGAGGAAGCTAAGGAAGTAATGATTGAACATAAAAAAATTGCATCAGATTTTAGAACTAGTTTGGCTTTATTCTAGAAAGATCCATATGGAAGAAATTTTTGTGCTATGAAAATTAATAGATAAGTATGTAAAACAATTTAAGGGTTTTTTTATATTTTGTCTTTATCTTCAAGGCTTGTGATTGAGTATCATGGAAAGTGATTTGGTATATTTTATAATAGAAGATGTATGTCAAAAATATATAGACACATTAAATCTATGTATGATAAAATATTAACCAATATTAGAAATAGATATACAGCAATCGAAAAATTTTAAACTATCATAATTTTTCATTAAAGATCAGCATAGAATTCATATCGACTTTATATTATAGATGCTTACAAAAGTCAAAGTGATGTGTCTTGATGCATACTCTTTATAGAGAATATAGTTCTTATTTATGTGACACTAAAATCAGTGAAAAATTAAAATTTTGAAGGAAACGTTAAGAAGATAGAGGTCTGTGAATTAATATAACAAATATTGACATATGCTATTTAATTGAAGTGGATAATAATATTAACAAATATCATTCAATAATATTAAAACATAAAGTGATACCTTGGTGTGATTGATTCAAGTATCTTGGATTTATTATACAAAAAATAATGGAGATGTTGATAAGAACATAACTCCTGTAGCTAAACCTTAATGTTTAAAATGGAGAAGTGCATCAAGATTTTCATATGATAAGAGGTTTTTGTAGTTTTAAATGGTAAATTCTATAAAAATAAAATTAAGCTGGCAACATTGTATGGATCCAAAGTTCTTATTAAAAAGTTATTGATATTAAGTTGGGTGTGGCACAAATGAGATTATTAAGATAAAGGTGAGACAAAATTAGAAAGTATGTATTAAATGATGATTATAATAAAAAAGAAATGTCAAAAATAAGGTAGTTGAAATAAAATTTGGTGATTTGGATCTTACAGTAAATTTTTTAAAATGTGACCTTTAGATTAATTGATAACATTAGTGTTAGGAGGATTAGGTAAAGAAAAAGGGTTAGATTAAAGTTTACGTTGGATAGAAGTTATTCCAAATTTATGATAATGAGTATTTATTACACTATCCAAAATAGCTGGAATAATGCTGCTAGTGATAAAACTGTATATAACTGAATTTGACCAAGTTTTCTCCTTTTTGGTTGTCTTATCAAGTAAAGATATTAGTATGTCGAAAAATCTCAGAATCTTTGACATCATTAGCCTTGTCCCAAACATTTGGAGAGAGAAACTTAACATCCACCTTTAATATGCGATGGTTCGGAATTGTGGCAATGCATGGGCTCTTTGATTCAGGAAACTTAGATATAGTGTAAGAGAATGAGGACATTTTTGTTTGTCTAAAAGATACATAATTGTTAACAGTTGTGCTCCACTATGTTTGTAAAGATCGGGTCTTCCTTCCCCTTTCGTCCTGTTGACAGTTTGTGACTAAAATGTGAACATGTATTCAGTTTTAACATCATGTCTTATACCCAACAATATATCTACGTTGAATAACGTCCATAAATTCGACAAAAAATGTTTTTTCTCATACACTTTGACTGCCAACAGGTAAATGAAGGAAGTGCGAGTGCAAGTGAGATCTTAGCAGGGGCATTGCATGACAATGGTCGAGCTATTCTTGTTGGAAAAAAAACATTTGGCAAAGGAAAAATCCAGGTAATTTCTAGTTTCAACCGTAACATCATTCTCATATGAAAATAATTTATTTCACGTCATTATTAACTCTTTTCCTTTTTAAAGCTCTACCGTTCTGATCCTCAGTCTCATCTTTTTTTTCTAAATAGCCAAGTTATTTGTTAAATCTCCCAACATTTTGAAAATTTATTTTCAGAGCTTCAATAAACTCATTTGAACTCTTCTTTCAACAACTGATTTCTTTCATTTGAAATGTTACAGAGTGTGACTGAGCTACATGATGGTTCAGCCCTATTCATTACAGTTGCCAAATACTTATCTCCAGCTCTTCATGATATTGATAAGGTTGGCATAATACCGGATGTACAATGTTCTACTGATATGTTCGCTGCATCGAAGGCATGGACTTCCAGAATTAAGAGCACAGTAGCATCTAATCTTGAGGCAGATTCTTGCATCTTGGTAGCTGAGCATGAATTGGAGGTCCAAAGATCAAAGGGCACTGCATCTTAACTCAAGAGATCCCTTTATGTATGTATATGTCAGAAATAATGTTCCTTTTGTTGTATAATTGATATTTTTAGGAAGGAGCCTTATAAATAGATATGTATTGAACTTTAAAGTGTAATGAAAGGCCTTAATCTTAAAAAATAAGAGGTATGATGTGAAATTGAAGAATGAAATGAAAAAATCTGTTTAAAAATGCAAGATATCGGCGAGCAGATGAACAAAGAACTGCTAAAAAATGAAGGGAATAAAACAGGTGTGTCCTTATCATATTTTTTTGTATTCTAAATCTTTTATTCTTATTGCAGCTTCGCTTCCAAGAATTAAATGACTAACGAACTTATATGTATGCCCAAAAAATTCTTGGGTGGATCTTGATAGTTCCAATGGTAATAGAATACAATAGGCAAGATATCGTCGAGAATCAACCTTTATAGCTAAACAACGAACTATCCTTGACGGACAACCTCTCTTTACCTGCCAGCCATACTTCCCACGGACATGATTCATTTCTTCCGTATGAGCTTTGTTCAGGAAAGGATTTCTTAAGAAGGTTCTCTTGATTATCTAGCTTCCCGACTGACTACTCGTGGTCAGCCATAACCTCAGCCGACCATACTCTCTATTGGCCCCTTGACTAGCCATCTCTTAGCCATGCCCTCAACCAGCCGGCCATACTCTCTGCTAGCTGGCCTTTATTGGCTGACCACTGTATTAAAAGAAGGTTTACGTGCATACCATTTTCATTGCATAAAAATATGCCACCTCATTTCTCTGATTGGCAAGCTCCATCGATCGGTAAACATACAATCAATATTTCTTTTTCTTCAAGTACGTGAATAAATTAATACGAATCTAAACTAAGGATATGAGAAACATTTTTAAAACAACAGCATAAAAACATCACATTTACATATTATAAAAGGCGTAAGAAGAGTGCTAGAACCTTCTTTATTCATTATCAATTAAGATGATAACATTTATATATTGCAAAAGCAACAACTAAACTGAAAAGAGGTCAGATGATCGAATGGGTGCTAGACAAGTAGCTCAAGCATGCCCAAAAAAGACTAAAATATCCAGCTCTACTCCTTTAAAGTGAGTGCAATATTATAATTTATTTATTAGTTATCTTATTATCTATAAATAAGAGGGCACTTCATGTAAAGGGGCTTTTGACTCTCTCCTCTTTGTAACATATTTTTTTTATGCAATAAAATGATCGCTAGGAAAGTCTTCCCCTCCTCTCTTTCTCTTCATTTCTCAATTTATTTTTGCATTTATTTTCCCTAGTCCAACGCTGTGTTCCCTAGACACGATTCGCTAAACAGCTTTGGATTCAACTGTACATTTTAATTATCTTAATTCAAATAAAATATAAATAATGTTTTTATCTAAATCCGACTTTCCCTAGTCCAACGCTGTGTTCCCTAGACACGATTAGCTAAACAGATTTGGATTCAACAGTAAATTTTAATTATCTTAATTCAAATAAAATATAAATAGTATTTTTATCTAAATCTGACTAACTTCTTTTCGTTTGCATGTCTTCTAATTTGCCGTAAACCTGAAAGCAAAAATCGACCAGCACCTGTCAGTCGATCACAGCTCCAATCAGCCATGGCCTCTTTCCTCCACCGAAGTCGAACCACCTCTCACCTTCTCTTCCAAAGCCTAAGAAGCCTTAACCCCGTGGTTCCTCACCTCTATTCCAAAACCCTCCATATACCTACACCGTTAAAACAAACAAGTCCCATCTCTCCCGTTCCTTTCTTCTCCCCGAGCATCCCCAAAAACTTGAACCAACGCTTCCTCCAAAATTATTCCATCTCGACCTCCATCATTAGATCTCAATTACTTCTCCCAAAGCCCCTGAACATCCCCAATCTCCAGCAGTTCTCCTCCAACTCTCCGGAAAAACCGCATCCCGAAGTGCGGCACCAGGAGATCACCGGCCCGACGGTCGAGCCCGACACTTCCCCACTAGCCAATGAGACCCGCGAGGTCCTTGAATCCCTTCGGAGGTCATTATACGACCTGAGTTCCGCTCTCGCGGTGCTCGGCGTTGCCCACCTCGGCCTCGGCGCATGGGTGGCGTACGCCGTGCACCCACCGAACGAGGTCTCTATCCAGGGCTTTGCTGCCTTTGCCTTCCCCTTCTCACTGGCGTTCCTCTTACGGAGGACTGTTAAGCCTATTACGTTTTTTCAGAAGATGGAGCAGCAGGGCCGGCTGCAGATTCTTACGCTTGCTTTACAGATTTCGAAGAATTTACGAGTTCTGTTTGTAAGGATGCGAGTAATGTGTTTTTGCTGTGTCATTGGAGTTTCTGCTGGATCGGCCGTGACTATGTTGATGCGTTGAGGTGGTAAGTGACAGTTCTTCATTTCTGTTCTTTTCTTACTCTGGATTTGTTATTGGCCGGTTAAGAATCAATCCTTGATTGACGAGTTCATATCTATGATTAAATATGTTTATCCAGGTGATAATTTTGATAATCTGCACTGTTTAAATATTATCCAGGTGATAATTTTGATAATCTGCACTGTTTATTTAGTTCCCATTTATGAATTCCAATCGAATGGTGTAGATTTTTTTTTTAATTTTCTTTTATTACTTTTTTCTTTTTGAGTGGCATTTTGGATCGAACAAAGATTTTTGCTCCCCATACTGAATTTTAATTCGCATTCTTATGTACAACATTATCATTTGCTTATTTTTATCGACTTCAAGTCGAAACCAGGATTTGAGCATTACTGCTTCTACATGTTTCTGATATGAGGATTATTTGGACATAAAGGCTTATGAAAAAACATAAATTTAGTCATAGTGCTGGCAAAATTAATGTGATTCATTTCTTTTTCAATTTTTGAAACTAAAAGTTTTGATATAATTGAAAAAAAATCAAAATTTATTGCTATTTGCTCAATATACACTCCATTCTACTCAGACCTCTGCGAATGTTCCTCACTTCAAGTAGTTAGATTGAAAACAAACTTGATAGATTAAAATCAAATGCATTTCAGCAATCTATTTAACTAAATTTAAATAAGCAGTTTATCAAGCTATTAGATCAACAATAAATGAGTATTGACAAACATATATTAACGACCAACATTATGCTAAAAAAATTATTCATATTTCAAACTTTAAAAATTTATGTTCAAGCTTATTAAATTGTCGATATAAACAAATATATTCATAATATTGTCTATGGGTTCCAAATTTATTTTTGGGTGATACAAGTGTCTTACTAGCAAGAATGGATTAAACCAGAGCATAAAATATGAGATATACATAAGATTGAATAAAATTTGAGATTTCAATAAATTTCCAGAATTATATGATTGGTGCGAATGATTCGATGTTTTTGGCTCTCTTTTTGTTCCCCTATTGGTGGTTTAGGTCAAGGCAAATACCTGATAGCCAGAATACGTATGAGCAACACAAATAAAAATTACAGAGTAAAGCTTAAAAAGTGCTTGCCATAAAATCAACAAGTTCATTTGAAGTTGTGATCAACTTCACTCGAAAATAACATTTTCAAATAAAGTATTGGTCACTTCATTTTAGGCTGGCGAGTAACTTTATATATTGTGAATTCTTCTTTTGTGACCCGAGTAAGTAGCTTTTGTGACTTAGGAAAATAGCCTTGGCAACATTGTTGTATACATTGAATTCTCCAATTTTCTCATTCTTTTGAAGAAATTATAAAAGATCATGTGATTAAAAATATCAATCATCATTAGATATTACATTGATTACGATTGTACATAAATTGGACCAGTGTTTAATACATTGATTGTTTTAAGTCTATAAATACTTCATAATTTCTTTTTGCTGATGTTGTCGTGTCCTTCATATCTTGAAGATATGGAAAAAAATCAAGAAGTATACCAATAAGAAAGTCATTATAATTTTGCTTGAGATTTATAATGAGCGCAAAGGACACAAAGCTATGGTGAATTTCTTTTACCACTTGAAAGAAAATTAAACCAGAAAATAGTGAATACTGATGCGAGCTAGAAGTATGAAGTCACATCGGAGTTGCCCACTATAAATGATTTTCTTACAATGATTGTTATTGAAAATGATATTAGCCATGACTCCTCTTTTTCTTGATCATCTTGCATAGAAACAACAAAGAAACATATGAATAATGCTTCAACTATACTTAAAACGTTACTGACTTCTAGTAATGAGCAAAGCAATCAACTTTTCAAAACCTCTAGTTGTGGGAGGTGACAAATAAATTGATTTTGCCACAAGTTCCAGAGGAAAAGAAAAGAAACTGATCATGATAATCAAGCTTAGTTTGAAGGGTCTGTTGAAATGTCGAGTATGATTTCATTGAGTTTCAAGCTAGTTAATTTAGTTCTACCAAGTAAGCTTAAGAATTTAGTAGACGATTTTTAATTCATTAACACAATGACACTCATCCTTCAAGCCAAAGCAATGAATGTTGAGGAGTCACCAAGCTTCAAATCTTTGGAAGAAGTTGAGAAAATACATTTGAGCAACTTGATTGAGAAATTTGTTTTATCTAGCTGACATTATATTGCCTCTAGTGAGCTTGTCCAAATGATGATATGTGAGGATTGATTGGGGGATGAAGTCATTATTTCGAGGAAGCTTATTTTCTCCTTAAATGAGTTAGTTCACTTGCTATGTTGAGTTCTTATTTTGTCACTTGATTCACCATTGACTTATTTCTAATGATGTTATGCTTTATCCCTTTGCCTAAGCATTAATAGGAGACTTATCGTCGCTTATTGCTGTTTTTGAGAACCAACATATTCCTTCAAGTTCTTTTATAAAGCTAGCCATATTTATATGTTTTTCTTTTTTAAAAGGAGCATAAGTTTTCTTAATTATCATGTACTTTCAATTGTTTTTTTATCTTTATATAATCTCTTTGTGATGTTGGAGAGTTTTTTTTTAAATCTTATATGATTTTCCTAATCATTTTTTTAAAATGATTAAAGCAGTAGTAATGCACATTGATGATTTGAGTTATGAAAAGCCATGTTAATTTCTTCACTATTGTCATTTTAAATCTCTGTAATCATTTAAAGAATTTGAATCATAATGACCGATCTTCCATTACTTCTCTATAAATAGTCCTTTGGTTTCCCTTTATTTCCTTACATAATATTTAATTATTTTGTTCTTGGGCGACTTTTTTTTTAAAGTTTTTCTTCATATTGTTTATGGCGAATGCTCTTCTCTCTTCTAGGAGAACTTCAAAAAAGTTGATTGGGACTTTGCTTAAGTGGTTATCAAGTACAATGTGAAAACAATACAGCGAGACTTTGAGTTCAATCACGACTTTACTGTCAAAATTGGTGAAGTTAATAAGCTTCTGAACTCACTATAGGAAGATTTATACTTTTACAGAGATCAATTCTAGCTCAACTTGTGACTTCTTTCTTCCGTATGTTTCTAAGATCTTGAATTTCTACTATTTAGTGGACTAGTAGGATATTAAATTTTCTTATTAACATAGTTTTCTTTATTATGTTTCTGTGTGAGCATGAGACAAAATGAAGCATAGATTTATTTAGGTTGGTGTTTGTCATTATAGCTTTTAAGGAGGGTATTGTATATTTTTCCTCCAAATATACAAAGATGAAATGCGTAGAAAATAAATTTAAGATTGAAAGGAAGATAATTTCATTGTGAAGTTGGCCATGTGGTGGCAGATTAGGACTAAGGGTCTATTTGGGACAGCGACAAATATTTGAAGAAACAATTGTGAAGTTGTTGTATGAAAAATTGTCGTCAGAAAGCTGTTGTTCGTGAAACCGTATGTTTTTTTGGAATGTTCAGTTATGAATTTGCTGTGCTGCAAATATTAAAAAAAAAACTATAATGTCTTTTTATATGTGTGCTAGTTGTAAGTTAACTATTTGATAATGAATTCAAATAAAATACTACAAATAAATTTCAAAAGTTTATAGAAAGTTTGAAGTCTAGCATATTGTATTAAAATTTACGCACATTTAACAATGAATAACACAAAAATTAAAACTATAATAACGAGAAGTAATTTTATTATAATATTGCTCTTGGTATTCAAATGATCAAGTCTCTTGGAGAATTTTCTCTCCCATGTTGCTCCCTACACAGTCACGTTCTGAAGTGGAGTCCTCATAGCTATCAGCTCATCCAAAAAAGATGCAATTATTTACTGATCTATTTGTACGACACCTATAAAAGCTTTTGTCATAGCTAGGTTTTCTTCTTGACATAAATACGCAACATTGCAATCCATAGTTGCAGTACAAGACTCTAGAAGCAGGAGACGTCTTTGAACTCATATTTTATGAGAAACCAGAATTTAATACATAAAATGAGCTTATATTAATGTTAAAATTATAAAATTAAAAGAAAATTTAAATAATAAGAATGATATTGATATAATGAGAAAGTTAAAAGAAAAAACAAGGTCTTAGAGTCAATATAAAGAAATGAATAATGTGCCATTATAAGAAAGCTAAGTATCCAAAAAGAAGGGGATATTGATTGTCTTAATGCCAAACTCATATATATTAGAAAATATGGGAGCATAAAGGCCCTCCAGAAGAACCTCAATGGCTATATGCCTCAAAAAGAAGGGGATCTTGGTTGGCTTAATACCAAACTCGTATATGTCGGAAAGTATAGTAACATAAAGACTATCCAAAAGAACTCTTATGGCCATACTCGTCATAGACCTTTAAACAAATTAAATGGAAAAAAAAAAAACTTACATACAACAACCCCACAGTTGCCTAGAAGGTCATCCAAGTGGGAGCATGCATCGAAAGATGTTGTAGCGCACTTTCTATGTTGTTGGGTGACTCGAAATTAATCATCCAATTCATTTATCCTCGATATATGGTGATGTAATGCAAGAAGTACATTCAATATATGAAGTATAGTATTCAAATAAGCATATAACTACTGCAGTAAATTTTTTTGATGTTGTATATCACTATTATTCGTCATTGATAAAAAAAACATTAAACATAATAAAATGATGAAATAACAAAAAAATAAAGTATGACTCGTACTGTAAATTTGAAAATAAGTTTAGCTTATACATCAAACAAATACTATGAAAGAAAATCTTAGAAACTCATTACACTCATACAACATGATTATTATAAAAGAAAGCGTATGAATTTCATCCTACACTCGGGCGCCATTGACATAAAAAACTCTCTTAGTGATATCTTCTAGCAATTTAATTGAATACAACTACAAAGACATCTTTATAAATTTTTACTTTTTCTCTTACTATTTTTATAACTTATGGAATAGATGCGGGTGCATGTGATGTGTTAGGCCTTGAGGAAGTATTAGTGCTTGTATTAACTAGTTGCAAGATCTGATCTCTTAAGAATACGCCATCATCTTTTTTCTTTATTTCACTTCTAAGCCCCGAAGATGAATGTCGTTTAGAGTGATTGGATCTAACATATTCAGTTACACTACTAATGGATCGTTCACTTGAGTCCTTTTTGTGCTTAGAATCTACGTGCTTCGATACATCAATGTTTTCTTTTTTACTTGAGGTCTATGCATTACACTAGAAGC